CAGAGTGGGATTGAGGGAGAGAGAAGGTTTTGTTTTTTGTTTTGGGTGTTTTTTATGGGGTTTTTTTGTTTTGGTTTGGTTCGTTTTTTTTATTTTTTTTGGTCCATTTGAAACAGGGTCTCACTGTGCAGTTCAGGCTGGCCTTGAGCTCACTTTGTAGCCCAGGCTGGTCTCAAATTCACAATAAGCCTCCTGCACCAGCCTCTCAAGTGCTGGGATTACAGGCATTGGCCACCATGCCCAGCTGAGAGAATTTTTGATTAATTGGTACAGTTTGATATTTTTGTAAATTAATTGTGATTTCTAGCCCTCCCTTTTTGTGTCCTGTGTGCAGTCATTTGGAAGTTGCTTCATTTCAAGCACCGTCTGGTGTTTCACGTCTCCAGATCTTTGCCCACACCCTTTGCTTGCTGTGTTTCAGATGCCTTGTCTGGCAGAGTTCTCTTTATTCTCCAGATGATTCCAGATTCTGCTTAAAAATCACCTCCACAAGGCCTCCTTAATTACTGTTTTCCCACTGAGTTTATGCTTCGTTCTTTCAGTACTTAATTTAGTTTAATTATGAATGTATACTTTTTACTCCTTTATTAGACTGTGACCTCTTTGAGCTTCAGAAAAGTGTTTGCTTCACCTTTAGAGGCCATAGTATGGGGTCAGTGACTTTTTATTTGGAAAACAACAATGGGTAAATGGTGGGCTTTGCAAATATGTTCTTACCTTTTTAAAAAATAATTGCTTAATTTCATATAAAATTCATGGAAGTGTCATTTCTGATTTCCCAGTTATTAGAATTTAGTTCGCTTGTTTTTGATGTTTTTAACTTTAGTGTATGCTTTTACATGCTGGAAAATTTTTTTTTTTTTTTTTTGGTTATTTCATTATATTGCCTGTATATGGTAGAAACTTTGAAGTCTGTAGGCTGACAAAAGCCAGATTGATGTTTTTTCTTCCTTTCTCGCATATCCTATTTTTGTTCTATTACTTCGTTATCCCTTCATATTTTATTCAGATGTCATCTTTCCCCATTTTTATGTGTACCTTCACTTTAATATTCCCTTTTCCCTGTGTTTTATATGTCTTTACTTGGGTAATAGGTATATTTCCTTTGCTTTGTCTGTTTTTATTTTTTATTTTATTTTTTTGGTAGGATGTCAGTGCTCTTCTTGTCCAAGCTTGCCGACTGGTGCCTCCTAATCAGAATCATCTTGTGAGCAAAGTGTCTAAGATGATCCACCATTTACTTAACAGATTACAGGTAATATATGTAATTTAGGATTCAAATTATGAACTTTGAGAGTAAGTACATGCCTTTGAAATACATCTGTGGTAGGTATTAGGCTGGTCTTTTGAGATGCTAGGAAAAGTTAACACCTTAACAAAAATGATATTAAATCTGGCATTATTCTGCAGAATTCTAGAAATTTGCCTATTAGAAGTGTTTCTTTCTTTTTGATTCAATAAATTAATGTCCTTCATGTTCCCTAGTCCTGGATTTTTATTCATTGACGATATCCTTGACCCAGATATATCCTGATAGATTGAAATGATCCCCTATTTCTTTCCCACTAATATTTTTCCCCTTTTCTGAAGCTATCGGATTTTTGTCATCTACTTCTGAAATATGCAAAACCTGAGAGGAAGCCTGAGGGCAAGGGGATACCAGGATAAAAAGTCCCCAGTTATTTATATCAAGGTCTGTATTGCAGTTCCCTTTAGAAAGTTTTCCAGCTTGCTAAATAAATCCATTTCCTGTAGGATTAAGACTATTGACCCAGAATAGCCCAGAATGTAAAGAGTACAAAATAAATCAATTAGTATTTTGTGAGCAGGATGCTTTGGGCTACAAGAAACAGAAAAGGCAACCCAGAATACCTGAACAATAAAAAAAGAAAAAAGGGAAATATTCCAGATCACAAGTCCCAAGGGAGGCAGCTCTAGCATCCCTTTAGAATAACAGGCTTACTGATATCTTTCCATTCTACCATCCTCAGTATGGGGGCTGTTCTCAGCCAGCTTCCAGTCATAAAAGACTGGCTAATTCTAGGCATCCCATGCAAAATGACTAACATTCATTAGAAGCCAAAGAATTGGTTGATTTTTGTCTCATCTATTAAAGAATGAGCAAACTTGGCCAGGTGTGGTGGCACATGTCTGTAATCCCAGCACTTAAGAGGCTGAAGCAGGAGGATCATTGAGAGCTTGAGATTGGCCTGGGATACAAAGTGAGTTTAAGGCCAACCCAAACTCCATAGGGAGACCCTGTCTCAAAAAAGAAAAAGGATGAGCAGACAACCCATGAGTTCACCAACAAGTTTTCTTGATACCTTATTGGAGTGCTAAATCATATAATCAACTCTCTAACCCAGTTTTACCACAAGCGACTTAAAACAGTTTGGTTTCAGTGTTGGGAATTGAACCAGTGGCCTCATGGACGCTAAATAGGCTCTCTGCCACTGAGCTACCCACCACCCCTTGTAAACCAGTGGTTTCAACCATGACTGCACACTATAATCACCTGGAAGGCTTGCACTTCCTGAATGATTTCAGTGTACAGCCAAAATGGGCTTATACAGGGTTTCCCACCTCTGTACTCCTTTTTTTTTTATTTTTAGGACAGGGTCTACAAGGTCTCACTACACAGATCCAACTCATAGTGATCCTTCTGTAAGCAAGCACTGGGATTACAGGTGCGCATTACCACACCCAGTCTTAATCACCATCTCAGTACACCCCAGGGATGGGGCTGGCACGGCACTCAGGGGGATCAAACCCCAGTCCCTGCATCTAAGCAGGTGCTTTAATCCATTGAGCTATCTGGCCGGCACTCTGTACTCTTGATATTTTAGATTGGGTACTTCTTTGCTTGCTAATGTCCTATGTATTATAATATGTTAAGCAGTATATTTAGTATCCATCCACTAGATGCTTCTAGTTGCAACAATCAAAAACGTCTATAGCTATTGTCAAGTGTTCCCAGGGGGAGGGCCTGATTGCCTCTGCATGAAAACCACTGTAATTAGGATTTCCCTGTGGGTTTCATGTAGGTGGGTATCCTGCTGAAATTAGAACTCTTCCATAGATGCTGGATAAGAGTTTTATTGAATTAAGATATTTCAGTGGATTGAGTCTTGTATCAGTGTACTTTCAGCTGCCAGTGTCTGTTTAGTTGAAGGAAAAGTTAGTAAAGGACTTTAGCTGGTTCTGCTTTGAGTGGAGGGACTACAGGGACTGAAATGACCGAGACCAAGGACAGGGAGAAATCCTTTATCTTGATCAAATTGTCAAACCTTCAGAACTGATTTTTGAGACATACCAAGAAAAATGGCTATGTACCCTCACATAGCTTGATCCAGGGGAGCATAAATGTGTGTAAAAGGGGCTGGGGAGGGCCTGAGTTCAATCCCTGGTTCTGAAATTTAAAAAAAAAAAAAAAATATGTAAAAGGATGAAAATCATTTATTTAAGTTAGAGCATCTGTATTTTTGTTCTGTCGGTAGGTGATTGTTGATGAACAGAACTTGGATTTCTTGTTGGCGTATACTATTTCAGCTATTCGTCAGTGTAGTTCGTGGACACACATGGAAATTCTTCAAGCCCTAGCAGCTCTGGTTTACTACAATGGTTCAAAATGTCAAAAGGTAGCTTAAACCACACTCTGCCTTTCCTTTGAAAGGAAACTCGGAAGTCAAGAGACTTATGTTCGGGAATCTGTCCTGCTTGGACAGATTGGACGTGTAACTTTGAGCTGTCCTCAGAATTCCTCAAATGCATGTTTCCTTATGTGTAAAATAAGAGCTCTGAGGACATAGTGGGACAATACTTGTAAAGTGCTTGGCACGCCATAATTGTTGTTGTTGTTGTTGTTGTTATTGTTGTTCATCATCTGAAACAGCCAAAACAAAGAGTCCCAGCAACAATCCTTATTCCTATTTGTTGGCATATCTTTGTCTACTCATCTGAGTGATTTACCTAACAGCTAGTCCCTTTAGTCAAAAATTAAGGGGTCAGGGAGATGGCTGGGGCTGGGGAGATGGCTCAGTAGAATAAGTGCTTGTACTCAAGGGCCTGAGTTCAGTCCCCGGTTCTGTGAAAAAAAAAAGAAAGAAAGAAAAATTTTTAAGGGCCAGGGAGATAGCTCAGTAGAATAAGCGCTTGCCTGGCAAGTGCAGGGTCTTGAGTTCAATCCCCGGTACCAAGAAAAAACAAAAACAAAAAAAATTAAATAAAATTTATTTTCCTAGAGGTTTTTCTTAGACTAACATTGACTGTCGTTTTGTTTTAGTATCTCCCAGACTTGCTAGGTAATTCTGGCCTCTTGCTGAAGATGAGTGACTTGGCTCAGTCTGACCCTGAAGTCAGGAGAGCTGCGGTGCACTGTATGGCAAACTTATGTCTCAGGTATGTGGGTCCAATCAGGTTTTCTAGTAGTAATAAGATGAAACCTCTCCTGGGTCCTTTGTAGATTGTTCCATCTATCTGAAGCCAGAGCTAGCTTAGAAACAAACTCAAAAAAAACAGAAAAAGAAACTAATAACTCATGTTCAATTTCTCATGTTATAGAATGAGGTTATCTTATATTATTTGTTTTCAAGAAAGCTTATAAAGGAGTAAAGGAAAAAAATGTATGCTAAAAGTGTATGTTCACGAATGTCAATTTTTTTGTTTTCTATTGGTGTAAATTCTAACCATGTTAAGTCATTTAGAAGGCTATATTCATATAAATTTAAGCTCTCGTGGTTTTATCTGTCAAGACCACTTTCTTTTTTAAGAGAATGGAACCAGCCTGTTATATGCAATAGCTTGTGAGTACCACAAACCTGACTTTGTCTCTACATAGCATAGTGTCATCCAGTAGCAAGAAGGTAGGTTGAATCAGACAATTCTAACTCAGCAGGACCTGTTTGTATTACTTTCCTAGTAGAACTATAAAAGTTGCTCTTTCTACGTCTTTCTTCCACTACAAACTTTGTAACTTTCATTCATGGAAACCATTCTTCCTCCTTCATATTTATTCAAGCTTGTACCTGTCTCATAACAATAACTAATTAGCCAAAGTGCACAATTTTCCATAGTGCAGTTGCATTCCAGGGGATATTCTAAATCCATTAGTCCGTAGTAATGCTGTGTTTACTTATTCTTTTGCAAGTACCAGTTCAAAGACCTTTGAGTTGTCTTTTCTGTTTGTGTTCTAGCGTGCCAGGCCAGCCATACTTGGAGGAACCTTACCAAAATATTTGCTTCAAAGCTTTCTTGACAATTTTACAGTCCTCAAAATCATCTGATATGGATGACATAGTATTTTGTATGGTAGGTAGGACTATCATCGTGTGAGTGTTTCTGTGTGTTTTGAAGCAGGAGTAGACCAGAAGGTTATTATCCAAAAGTTTAATTTTGCTACTATGTTAGTTTTGTTTGAAGATATTTATGCATATGTATGATGTTTATAAGTCCAGAAGACTAAATTGTTAGGTTTAAATTATAAGAAACTTTTTTATTTGTTTTGGTTTACTTTGGGATTGTTTTACCATTCTAGATTTTAAAAGAAAACTATTGTTTTTCCTCATGAGTGTAAAAGCAGTATAATTTCCAACTAGTAACTAACTTTAAGATGAATAAGAAGAAAGTGGACTTGAATACTATCAGCATACTTTCCTTTTTGTAAAAAAAAAAATCTGACACGTGACATTTTATCAGTATGTTTTAAATTCAGAATGACACATTTCAGACATTACAGATGCAAGACACTGAAACTGCCATATAGTCTTCTGCTCAAATACAACCGTTGGAGACAATATTCCATGAGCCCTCAAGATTTTTTTCCATATACAAATGGGCATACTTATCTTTAAGCAGAATCATATTTAATATACTTTTCTGCAACTTTCTAAATTTTTAAACCTTAATGTCTCTTGGACATCTTTTTAGTATCTGTTAGCATGCCCCATGTTTTCTAACTGCAGTGGTGAGGAGACCTCATGCACATTATTTAAATTTTTGGAACCTCCATGTTCTTCTGGGAAATGGAATACAACTATTGTAGGGTTTTTTTTTTTGGGGGGGGGGGTAAGTTCTTTTGAGAAATACTATCTGAAATGAAGTACTTAAGAGTATTTGATAAAGCACTATAATATATTATTATTGTTATTATTGGTAGCTTCACATTTAGCAAAGAGTTTCTTACATCATCACTGTGATAGTCATTATAATTGGTGAAAATTGGCTGGGCATAGTGGTATACACCTATAATCCTAGCATTTAGGAGGCTGAGGCAGGAGAATTGCCTTGAGTTTGAAGCCAGCCTGGGTTACGTACTGAGTTCAAGGCCACCCTGAACTACACAGTGAGACCCTGTCTCAAAAAAAATTTTTTTAATGAAAATTGATGTTTTGTTTTTTTTCGTTTTTCCACCATTTCATACAAGGCTATAGTCTACATCCTCCCCTGTGGGAAGTACTTCTAAAAGACAGAGACCTAGAAATGAGATTCCTGAGCTAAGAAATCAATCTTGATCAGAATTGTCCTCTAGGAATTATATTTGTCATTTATCATGTGTTCCCACAGCAGTACCTTTGCCATATTACAGCTTTCTCCTTTCTGATCTCTTATCACTCCTCATTCTCTTTCTCTCTCTGTCTCTCTCTCTCTGTCTCTTTTGCTCTCTCATTCTATTGCTCACCATTTGTACATACTAATTTATTAGGAAGTACAATAAGACCATTCAATAAGAGTGCTCTTTTCTTTAGAAAATAATTCAGTTGTTGGGTCTGTTGTCTGGATCTTTGTCTCTGCTTTGTGACTATGTTTCTAAAATATTTTTCATCATTTAGAGATTTTTCTCTTCCCTCCTA